CTTGTGAAGATCTTAGATTCTTTTCTCTGCGTGGAGAAATGCCCAGTCTTGGACCACCCAAAATAGAACAACCTGGGATTAGTACTGATCATTTACATTTTGAATAAGCTTAAAAGTCTTTTTCTTCTTCTTTCCTTTTTTCTTTTATTTTCTTAGACATCCTGAATTTGAGAAAACGCTAGCTTTGACATCTAGAGGGAATGAGCTGCATACCCATACTGTCCATGTATGTAATATAAGATGTCATGTAATGTGATTTTTTTGTCCTGTTTTGAGGTTTAAAGGGAAGAGTTTCCCATCCTCCAGGTGTAATTGGGTACACAAAGACCAGAAGGCATGGGGAGTAACTTCAACCGGGGGAGAGGAGTGTCCTGAGCCTACCTGGCCCTCAGGACCCAAATGAGAAGTCTTTAGAGGAGCTGCACAAACTATGTCTAACGCCCTGAGAACTTAAGCATGTGGCAGTGTCCTCAGCTAGAGTTATCAGAGAGACCCCAGGCTTATCAGATGATTCAGATTCCTCTAAGCAAACTACAGGTACTGAACAAAATCCAAGAGAATGGTAATACATCTGATCTGAGAACCAGGGGCTTACTCCTAATTTTTGAACCAAATATTGGCTCACTTGTAAGATTCAAATGCATTGGAGGAAGCTAAAATTTAATTTCAGATTTCTTTCCAATTAAAGATTAATTTAATATGAATCAGGAAATAAAGAAAAGTCACAATTATTCTACCCAAAATGTCTTGGGGCATTTAATAACATATACAGTAATACTTCATGACTGCATAACAGGCTTCACTGAAATGCTTTCCTTAATGCTATTATATTAATCTCAATTACCTACATGGAGAAATTCTATTTATTATTTAATGTTTAAATCAAATGTTATAATTGACTGTTTACATGTCTAGTTTCAGATGAAGTTCCTTCTCCAGGATATAAAGCTGGTTTTATTCACCCACATGTTCCCAGTTTCTCAAAAATACCTGGCACAAAGCAGGTGATACTGTATAATATAAAATTAAATAAATGGTAGAGTAGATAGTATGAGAGGTCATAGCAACTGTTGGGATGGAGAAAAATAGTTAAAATTAATTAATTTTATAACATAATATTCCATTTTTAATAATAAAATTCAGCATAGTCTACTTTTTTGATTTTCTAAAAGAAATAAGTAGTGGCGTATTACATATAATTGTTGGTCCATGAATTACTGAACTACTGTCAAGTTGTTATATCATGGCAGAAGAGATCCCTGTTTATGCATTATAAGAATTAAAGTGTGAAATTTAAATGCTGAATTAAAATGTGCATTTTCCCAGGAAGAAAATATGAGAAATTTGTTAACAGATCCAGAAAGCATCTAAGAAACATCTAAGTAACATACCAGTTTTTCTTCATAGCCCCAAGTCAACATATTCTAATGAAAATAAAAAACTCCCTTATAAACATGCTTTTATTCATTAATATTAGAATTTCTGAAGCATGTATGGAAAGTGGTTATCTCCTAAAATGATTTTAAGCATATTTTAACAAAATCCACCTTCAGTAAAAAACACCATTTCCCAAGAAACAATTTCTCTTTTTAAATAAGATTCAGTGAAAAAAATCCACCCATGAAAATAAAACACCTACTTAAAGATAATGCATTTACTCCTCCGAGTATTTCTACTGATTTTTGGTATTCTCTGCCTGTATGTACGTAGGCTTTCTCTTTTCACAACTACTGCTACCATGCCAGGTCCCACTCCCCTGCTCTGAGCCTGACATGGGACCCAGTGGTAAATGAGACTTAGTTTGCTATCCATGGATAAAACTGAAAGGGATGCAGAATCGATAGGTGCCATTAAAACTAAACAGTAATTATGAGAGAAATATATTCTGAAAGACCCTAAACATAAGATTTACAGTAATACTTCATGACTGCCTAACAGGCTTCATTGAAACGCTTTCCTTAATGCTATTATATTAATCTCAGTTATCTACATGGTGAAATTCTATTTGTTATTTAATGCTTAAATCAAATATTATAATTGACTGTTTACATGTCTAATTTCAGATGAAGTTCCTTCTCCAGAATATTTTCTAATGAAAATAAAAACTCCCTTATAAACATGGTTTTATTCATGAGTTTTTGAAGCATGTATGGAAAATGGTTATCTCCTAAAATGATTTTAAGCATATTTTAACAAAATCCACCTTCAGTAAAAAACACCATTTCCCAAAAAACAATTTCTCTTTTTAACTAACGATCTACATACATGATACAAAAGTAGCCACTTTTCTGCTGGTTTTAGATAAAGGCAGTCTGAGCCGTTGCTTGGCTCTACTCCTTTGAATGTTAAAGGAACTTTTATACATATGATGGATGGTAGTAGATTAAATTCTTCAGAAAGATAATTGCATTAATATTCATCTATTTACAGTCAAGGAAGAATTTTTAAAACATATTTTACTAAGTGAAAAAGCCCTAATCAATGGTGGCAATTATTTGGCAATGGGCAAACAGTATGCCTATAATGGAAGATATCTGGGGAATAAAATATATGACTTTGAATTTCATTATTATAACATATTAGAGATTTAAAATTTTTATATTTTAGTATTCTAAAATAGGATAGAACTTCCTTTTTATGTAAAAGCCCCAATTAAAGTGAAAATGGAGTTTGGAGAAGCCCAAAACAATGTAACAGGAGAAAAACTGTGTCCTTCAGAGCCAGGACTACCGACTTCTAACAACCACCCAAGAAAGAAACTTGCTTTGTCTTCAAGCCTCTTCCTAACCTGCTGTGGTCTCAAACTGCAGAGAGGATTGACTATTAAGTCAATCTTCTCATGCACAAAGGTGATCTAAGGGGACCTGCTTACTCAAGATAAAAAGGCCCAGCAGGAAGCACACACTTTGAAAGGGGATACAGATATGGAGGGAAACATAGTATGAATGCGAGAGTAGGCTTGTGTTCAAAAACAGGTTGGAAAAGCTTTTCTAAGCCAGCCCATTGAATGTAACCATGAGATAAATGACATATAGTTAAAGAGCATTAGACCCAGGGACAAAAATCCCCAGATTCTCACAGTGGCTTCTCTATTAAGCAACTTCATTGACCTAGATGAACTTGGATGAGTCCCATTTTCTTTGTAATTCTCTCAGTAGCACAAACATTAATTAGGCAGTTATTTTATTCAAGGCACCAGGCTATGACCTACAGAATAATGTTTCAAAAGGCTGGGAGAGGGACTAAGTGCCCCAGAATCTGCTGAGTTCCATCTCAGAAATAATGAATGGGAATCTCTGCAGGTGACTAATTGCTGGATAATTTTTAGGCACATTAAAGCTGAGAACTAGTTTTCAGCTAGAGAATAAAAAGATGAGGTACAGTTTGTACCTTCAAAAATATTCTAATCTAATTTTTTTCTTAAAAAAGGTCTTTGTACCAGGTGATTTCCAAAAGCTTTCTGATACTCATTTTAGCTTATTTTTTTCTAACAGGATTTACATTTTACAAGGTACTCTGACTTTATAAGTGTAATTTTAATTATGTGACCTGTTTCTATCCACCCAGCCATTTCTGTTGTGCTTTGAATTAGCCACACAATTTTTTAGTTTCAAAGTCTTATTTGGGAACAAGTGAAAAAGTAAACAACACTCAGAACTGTTACCCTCTCTGATGACATTCAGTGACACACAGGGAGGCACAGGATCAGGCATCAGTGGACTGGGTTCTGCTTTTAACTAGTTGTGTGACCTTGGACACACAAGGATAGCTCTCAGACTTCAGGTTTCTCTTTCCAAAATGAGGGATTGTATTAGCCAGGTGACAAAGTCTCTGTAGTCAGATGAATAGGTTTCTACGGCACTATTACTCTTAAACTTTGTGAACAGTATTTGTGAGACACCTCTCATGTGTGCGATCATACAGTGTCAGGGGAAAATAAAATCTGTATATCTAAACATTGCTCTTAAGAAATATTAGCTCATATAATCCAACCACATGAGTCTAGTTGATTTTACTGGTCAGTCACCCCTGACATTCACTCACTCCACTTCACGCTGCGGCTGCTCTAGTTCATACCCTTTTAATCATCACTTGAAACAGTGTAATAGCTTCCTAACTTCTCTGTTTTGAGGCTGGTCTCACTGCCTTTCTCTATAATGGCACCCAGAGCATCTTTCCGAGACACAGATATGATGGTATTCACCAGTTTGAGTCCTTCAAAATTTTCCTCTGATTAAAGCCAAAGTCTAAACACCTACAAGAAGGTCGTGCAGAAGCTCTTTGCCACCCACCACCTGCATACTCAACCAGTCTCATTTCCAAACACTTCTCTACTAGGCTCTTGTGTCTACCAACCAACCCAGTGTACTTGTTCCATGGTTTTCCCCCCAAAAAAGAAGTCATTTTTTTATTTATTATATGCTTTCATTTTTCCCATGGTCCACTTTCTGCCTGGGATTTCTTTCATTTTCTCGGCTGCTCAATAAACTTTACAGCTCACTATAAATAACTCTGTTATATTAATAACTACTTTATATCTTTTACATGGTTCTTCCTTGACCAATTTTAAGCAAAGTAAAAATGGGACTATGTTTCACCTGTCTCTGTACATTTAGGGCCTGCAATATTGCTTCATACATAGATGTTCAAGAAATGTTTTCAAATATAAATTTGGATAACTAAAAAAAACATACATATGGCATATATATATATATATATATCATATATATATATCTTACCATAAAATTTAAAACAAGAAAAACAGAAAACAACTTCTACCACAGAATATTTTTTGATACACTTATATTTACATTTCAATGAACTTTCCTTTCAGTATAGATCATGGAAAACTATAGGTTTATGTGAACTCTGACATGAGCATTAAAAAGTGCACCCTGTAAACCTGAAAAAGGCATGAGCTAATTGCTCGCATTGTAAACAACAGGCACATTGGAGAGGCCAGTAGTCAGGGACAAGGTTCACAAGGGAGGAGCTCCTACCTGTTAGGTCTGCATTGGGCCACCACCCCAAGTCACAAGCTTTGCAGGTGAATTCATCTTGCACATACTCATTCTCTTTGCAAGCTGTGCAAATCCAGCAGCAACTCACTTCTCCTTTACGTATGACCTGTAACATAAGATATTTCATATGCTTTAAAGGTGGGTTCTCCAGAAAGTGTTCTATGTCAGGTAAGGACTTGTTCTCATACTACAGTTAAAAAGAAAAGAATAACTTCTCAAGAACTTCTATATGCTGAAGAACCTTAAGCACATGGATTGGAATATACCTGATTACCTTAGAGGTCACATGTGAATTTCAATTTATTCCATGCTGGCTTTGAAGGCTTTTAAAAAATGGAACCACTGAATTTTATCCTTATGTATATTGATATATTTATATTCATTGATAAATACTTATATTAATATAATGGATTAATTTTTCTTGGAAAAGTAAAAATGCATTTCTTATCTCTGAAAGAATGTTTGACCACAAAAGTTTCTAGGTAATAAGACCTTAATTCATAAAATCTGAGAAATTATGAAATATTTGCTGTAATCATGAAAGTATGAGCAACTTTATATATAGGAAAACAGAATGATGGTTAAGAAAATATAACCCTATTATTGGCCATGTGAGTCTAGTGAATTCAGAAGATCATATAAATTGTTGTGTTAGGCAGGAAGCCAGAGATAAGCTGGAGGAGAGGTCAGGTTGACCACAGAGAGGTTGGGACTACAAACAGCTTCTTCCACCAGTGAGAAAATCCCTAGCAAGAGGAGTAAAACCAAAAAAAGAGGAGAGATTCCACAAGTTAGAGTCCAACTGGGCATGCCCCTGGGGTGTGCTGAAGTGACCTTTCCTCATTATAAAGTTATAAAAATAAATCTGCATTGTGGTTTAGCCCCCTTGGTGGGCAGAGAGAATTCTGGGAAAGAGCATGGCAGTAAGAATTAGCTTACATCATTGCCAGCCCATCAATCAACACTTGTTTGCATAATATTACCCCTCCTAAAAACCCCTTGCAAATCCGGTAAAATGGCACTCTTTCCAAATATTCAGGGCCTGACATTAGGTTGGGGCCCAGTCCATCACAGAGCCTAATAAACTTGCTCGCTTTCTTAACCTTTTTGACTTTAATTTAACTCTGTTTGAGCTTCCCTAAGACACAGAAACAAATACCTTCCCAACAGATGAAAGAAAAATTGCTAGTCAAAATTACTTTAGATTTGCTTATTATCTGAGCAGTTTAAACTTTCTCCCATTTTCAATATGTTTGGTAAATATATTTTAATGTACACAATAAAAAAATGAACATCAAAACAGTGCATTTAAAGTGAGTTTCTTGTAAACAGCACATAATTAGGTCTTGCTTTCATCTCTAGTCTGACAATTTCTGCTTTTTATGAAGTGTTTAGTACATTTATATTTATTATAACCATTGGTGTAGTTGGATATGAATCAACCATCTCTATTTTTTTTCTACCTGTCCCATTCTTTCTTTGTTTCCCTTTCCTTGTTATTCTGGCTTCTTTTGGATTAATTGAGGATATTTTTAGGATTCCATTTTATCCCCTAGTGAAATATTAGCTAAAGCTCTTGGTTTTCTGTAGGACTGATAATATGTGCCATTAACTTACCATAGTCTACATTCAAATAAGATGCACATGTGAGACCCTTATAACAATATTCTATTTCCCTTTCTTATCCTTTCAGTTGCTTTAATAAATTTTACCTACACATATTTTATAACCCCATGATGAATTATTAATGTTACTATAAGTAATAATCTTTGAAACAAAATATTGAAATTAGAAAAACTTAATTTTATATTTACCCAAACATTTCTAATTTCTATTTTTGTATATACCCAAATTTCTATCTGGTATAATTTCCTTCTGCCTAAAGAATTTTCTTTAACATTTACTGTAGTGAAGATCTGAAAATGACTTTTTTCAGATTCTGTTTGTTTCAAAAGTCCTTATTTTGACTTAATTTTTGAAAAAAATATTTTCACTTGTATGGAAGTTTAAGTTTCTTTCTTTCAGCTCTTTATGTGGTTCCACTATCTTTGGAAATGGAATTCTAGGTTGTAAGTTTTTTTTCTTTCAACACTTTAAAGACCTCATTACTTTCTTTTCTTCCATATGACCTCTGATGAAATGTCTGCTGTAATTTTCACTTTTTTCCTCTTCATGCAGTAGACCTTTTCACTGTGGCTGATATTAAGATTTGTTTTCATTACTGGGCTTTATTGATTTTGTTGGAATTGTGTTTATCTTCCTTGGGATTTGTTGAGCTTCATGGATGTAGGTTTATATTTTCATTACCTGTTTTTCAGTCATTTTTTCTTAAAATATTTTTTCTGCCCTGTTTCTTTCTTTTGCCCTTTTGGGTGTCCAATTGCACTTTTAGTATACTTCCTGGTAGTCTTCTGCAAGTCTGTGAGTCTATTCCCCTCTTCAAGTTTCTTTTTCCCTCTCAATGCCTCATTTGGCTATTTTCTATTGCTATGTTTTAAGTTCCCTGAACTCTTACTTCTATAATGTCTCATATGCTGTTAATCCCATTCACTACAATATTATTTCTTATCTATTTTTTATTGTGTAAGTTCCACTCTTTTATATGACCATGTGTCTTGTCCTGATATTCATGTTTTCCTTTAAATCCTTTATTACGTATGTACAGTAGGTCTTATAATAACCTTGACTGCTAAATTCTATCATCAGTGTAATTTCTGGGACTATTTATATTGCTTGACTTTCCTCTGGTGCTGTTTTGCATTTTTTCACTTTGTCACATGTCTGAAAAATTTTGATCAGATGTCACATGTCTTAGAAATTTGTGCATAAGGTGTAGAGTGTTGTATGTTTTTCTTGAAGAAGTATTGGCCTTTGTTCTGGAAGGCAGCTAAGTTACGTGTGACTCAGTTTGAGCCTTGCTTTTTAGTCTTTTAGGACTAAAAGTTTAGAATAGTCTCTACTCTTGGAATAGTTTAGTTCCATTATTAATGTGTGATTCCCTCTGGGGTCTCCACTTAATTCTTTGTGTTTTCAACAAGGTGTCTTCACTCTGGTTTGTGTACATTGGGACAATTCCTGGCCTGTGTGAGCTCTGGAAATCCCCCATAATTATTCTTTATTGGACTGTACAAAAATCTCCACAACTCATATACAGATTTGTAACCAGTGAAATACTGAAGGGAACTGATATGCTAACTTCTGGAACACCTTTCTGCACAGATCCTTTCTCTCACTTACTCTGCACTACAAATTCTAGCTGCCTCAGCCTCCTTAGACTCCGATTTCTATCTTCTTAAATTATCAAGATGGTCATGCTGTTTGTGTTCTCTCTCAGTGAACAACAACCAGAAAATTGCTTCCAGACAGAAAGCCTGAATGATTTTCGGGTTCACCCTGTTTTTTTCCCTTCACTTCCCGGGAACAAGGTCATGCACTATTTTCCAATATCTGAACACAGTCATTTCATGCTGTTTACAGGAGAAGACAAAGTCTGGACTTTGTTACTCTCTCAAGGCTAGAAGCAGAAGTGCCTCCCTAATGCACTAAACATCAAACGTTCTCATATGTAAAGTCCGATGTTAAACTGCAAATATTTCTATACCTTAAATTTATATAAACTCTAGCCTTTGTGAAAAATAAAATTATCTTCTTGCAGATCAACTTGAAATACATACCACTATTTTAGAATTACAGAAAAATGACTGTATTTTCAGAAAATGTAAAAGGTTTTCTTTTTCCTTTTTTCCTTTTAAATAATGTTAGAAAGTAGGGTCAAATTGAGTCTTTTTGAAAAAATTCACACCTATCCTCAGAACACGCATGGCAAATTTACATTCAAAGTGACAAATTTTTCTAAGTGATGTGAGAAAAATTGAATTAATAAATGAATACTTCCTTTAATGAGTAGAGGTACAATAAAAGCCATCACAAAATACTTTGTATGTCTTCAACCAGCTTTATCTTTTTCTCTTATTGTAAAATTAATACTACTAATTAGACAAGTTCAAAAGATGATAATGCTAAACAAATTTATGCAGATGACTGATATATCCTGTGAGCAGATGAGAAGTATTTAAAATCCAGGTTTGAATAACTGTATGAATCAGTGAATAAGTGATCAACTCACACATTAAATAAATAATGAAAAATGGACCTGTTTAAATGAAGTTATTTTTTATTACTCCTTCTTTTTTCAGTCACTAATTCTGTGTACTTTTGCCACACAATATCTATAATACAGAAGTCTATCTTTTGATCTCTCAGCCACCCCTCTGAACTTAGAGCTTATCACTTTATTCCTGAATTCTGGTCCCTGCCTCCTAATCATGTAACATGCCTCTAATTTCTTTTCACTCCACAGTGACATGCCCCCCACAGCTGCCAAGATCATCCGAATGGCCTGTGGGCCTCAAGAGAAGGGACCATGCTGTACTTTCACTGTTTTCAGATCACAGTCATCAAGGTACAGAAATGCACCCAGAACACACAGTAGGCAGCCAATGAGTGAGTACCGAATTGAATATTTTTGGAAAATATAATTGGGTCAGTCAAGGAATTTTAGTGCTTCCCTATTCCAATATCTTTGAAGTATAAGCCCTTCAGTCAGGCATTCACTTAGGCCCTGGTCCTTGTTTCTGCACCTAACCTTGCTGCTAATGTCTTAAATGAGCCTTCCAAATAAGGGGAACAGCCTCGGTGCCAGTCCCTGCTTATGTCCTCATTAATGTCTGCAGGACTCTGTTTGCTTTGTTTGTTTGCTTTGGAGGGAGGCTTCACCTAGAGTAGAGACATCCAATTTGTTTTTCACCTGACTTGCTTTGTACAAGGATTATTTTGACTGCTATTTGGAGAACAGATTTTAAGGAGAGCAAGAAAAAGAAAAGGAGAAAATACAGAGTGGCAGTGTATGTGGGTGTATTTTAATCCATGGCTCTAAATGGAATCATATATTAAACAATTAAACATATTTAAATAAAAGAATGAATATTACCTTCCATTTAGAATGCCATTTTTTCTCCATCAGTCCATCTATGTCACCACTTCTAAGAGCAGACACAACATCACAAGCTCCAGCAAGTATTTCTGGAGCAGTAAGTCCTTTGAAATATTGCCTTATATGGAATAGTTTAGTAATTAAAATACAGTTGGTATCTTATTACTCTAAGTCAGTTTTTTGTCCTCTAATTGTTTCATATCTTCATGATAGATTTGTTTACTCAAATACATTTTTTAAATTCTAAAATTATTGTCTCTAATTTATGTTCTAATCTCCCCAATATCATGTATAATTTTTATTACTTCTATATCTCCTATTTTTTATATCAGCTATACTCACTGATATTTCTTTTGCATGGATAGCAGACCCCCTCAGCCAGGGTTTCATGTCCCATGGTTTCAGTTGCCCACTGTCAGCTGCAGTCTGGGAGCAGATGATCCTCCTTCTGACCTACCACCATAAGGGCAATGGTCGCCAAATGCTACATCACAATGCCTGTGTTATCACATCACTGTCATTCATTTCCTCACACTGGCATTTTATCATCTCACCTCGTAAAAGAATGATAGTACAATGCAATAAGATATCTAGAGACAGAGACACCATGTCACGTTTACTGTATGTGGTTATAATGTTCTATTTTATTGTTAGTTATTGTTGTTAATCTCTTACTATGCCTAATTTATAAATTAAACTTTATCATAGGTGTGTATGTATAGGAAAAAACATTACATATATACATACATATATATATGGCTCAGAGCTATCCATAGTATTCACCAGAGGTCTTGGAACATATTCCCTGTGGATAAGGATATTACAGTATAAACTCAACAACTGAATAAAGTATGTTTATATTTTTGTTACAATAAAACATTTTTTATGGCAGCCCTGAGTCATGATAAAATTTTGTATTTCACTGACACTGCCCTTGAAGGACCAGATTTCCTCAGGCACAGGACCTGTTCTGATTCTTTTTATATCCTGTGTGCATGGTGCTATGATTATTGTCTGGCAACCAGGTGCCCTACTATCACAGTGCTATGATTCAGTCACACACACACCGTAGAGTCTTAAAGTATGTATGCCATAGGAAATCAAGTGTTCATTTTATGACTAAGTTTCTTAAGTAACTTGAAACGGATTTTTTAAATTAAGGTTTTATTTAGAGAATGGATGAGAAATTAACAGCATCAAGAATATATAATGAAGGAAAAGTAACTACGAATCAAAGGAAACAGAAAAATTTTCTTCAGAAGGGAAATGCCTGGAAGACCAAACAGAATAAAGAAATTGAGTTTGCCCTCATCAGGACTGTAGAAGAATAAGCCGCAAGAGAGAAGAGTGAGCCTGCCCTCCTGGCCCCCACATCGCCCTGTATGACAGCTTGGGCAACAGTCATCTTTAATTGATGATTTGTTTTTCTCCAGCTATACTGAGTTCCTCAAAAAAGGGCCTTAAGTTCCTTTGCATTCCTAGTGCTAGCATAGTTCTTGGCAAATAATACTCACTCAATAATGAATATGAAAGAAAAGGGGAAATTAATATAGAGAATGACATGAACAGAAGGAATAGAAATGAAGAACTCAAAGAGACTGAAAAATAAGAGGAAATTTGAAGAGAACCTTGTAAGAACTAAATTTAAAATATCAGTTTAGGGAAATCCCTATGTTGTAATTTACTATAGGGAGAATTTAATAAAATGGTATACATGTATAAAACAATCGCAAGAGTGGACATATACTAAACCAGGCTATGTGCTAGGCACTTTGTACAGAATTACACTGACCTTCACATACACTCCATGGGGTGGAGTTAATTATGTGCATTTTGCAGATGAGGAAAGCAGCTGCAAAAGAGAGCATCAGTACCTTGTATAAATCGCAGTCACATTATCTCCAGATATTTCCAAAAGCTAGACTCTTCCTAGTGTAGCAATAACTGCTAGGGTGATGACATGTTAAGAACCAAAATTGTATCTCAGATACAGTTCGAAGATAGATATTCAATTAATCAACCTTTGTTTAGTAGCCCAGGGTGCCAGACTTGGAGCAGTGCATGGGGATAAATTAATGAAAAGATCTTATCTTTAAGGTTAGGGAGCTCAAAAATCTAACATAATGTGTTAAATATGGATAGAAGGAGGAATTAAATGCTTATGAAGAGCATGACTCAATATAAATTGAATAATTCATTCATTCCATTATTTATTCATGTATTTATGAAATGCATATAAAGTGCCTACAATGTGCTAAGTGCCTACAGTGTGCAAAGTACAATGTCAAGGCTAGAAATAATCAATGAACAGGTGAAATCCCTATCCTTGAGGAGCTATCATTCCAGAGAAGGGCTTTGAGAAAACCTAAGCAAGAAAGAGGAATAGGGCGCAGGGCAGGGACCAAGTTGAGGCCAGCATAGCACCAGGGGACCAGGTTTAAAGAGGCACTCACCCTCAGGGGTGTGCAAGTACCTACCGTGTGCTTGAGAATGAGTACACCCTTAAAACCTGCCTCCTTTCACTTGCCTCCTTAATCCTAGCCCTGATAGGGAGGCACCTGGAATAGGGAACTGCAATCTTGCTTACGGTAGTCAAGTGAAGCCACACTAAGACCCTGTCATTTAAGTAAGGTCTTGAGAGGTAAGCCCTTAGGTAAGGTAAGGAGCAAGCCCTTAGTATACCTGGTAGAAGAGTGTTCTTGGCAGAAGGGACAGCTGGAACAAAGACCGGTGGTATTCATTCTCCTCTTCTATTTTTCTGCATGTATGTTATACATCCATTAATGTGCATTTACAAAAGCAAATGAGCCCTGTTTCTCCCACTGTCACTGCCCAATATCATGTGATTTAGCAGCAGCTCCTATCAGGACCTGTTCCCAGTAGTGACCTGCTGGAGTCAAAAGCTAAGGTGATCACCAAAATATTCAGTAACCAGTTGGGCAGCATACATACCAGTCAGAGGTGAAAATGTAGGTATTACTCACAGTGGCTAGGAATAAATTAACAATAATTCTATGGAATTTCTCATCATGAACACTGCTTGCATTGCTTCTTCCTCATCCTATAACAATTTCATGCTTTCACATGCACAATAAGAAAGAAAAAACATGGATGAATCTACAGGGTATCATGCTCAAGTGAAACAAGTCAGACAGAAAGAGACAAATATGTATGATTTCCCTTATATGTAGAATCTTATAAACAAAACAAACAAAACCCAAATAGACTCATAAATACAGGAAAAGGACTGGCGCTACAGGGGAGTTCAGTGGGAAGATGGGTGAAATCTGTGAAGGGGATAAAGAGGGACAAATTTCCGATTATAAAATAAATTAGTCACAGAGGTGGAAGTACAGAATAGAGAATATAGCCAATAATATTGTGAATTTTTCATATGTTGACAGATGGTAACGACACTTATTGTGGTGAACATTCAGTAATGTATATAAATTGTTGAAATCACTGTATCATACACACACAATATAATATTGCGTATCAACTATATTTCAATTTAAAAAACAATATTTTGTCTTTAGTTTTTCAAAATATTTGCCAATATGTTTTTAGTAGCTGGGCCAGATCCATCATTATTATGTAATCACAGGCTTCTCCAATATCGATTTTATTTTTTATATACCCGAGGAAAGTTCATGTTCAGAACCTGCCATCCTGCAGTGGAATTTAGAAAACATTACATAATGGAGGAAGCATAGTGTTGTTTCACTGATTGTCAAAATGGTTACATTAAATATAAACAATTTCAGGGGGTAGTTTGCTTTGATTCACAGTAAGAGAGAGCTCAGGTGGATGGGACAGTTATGATTGGTGATGTTACTGCTAACTTAAAGCTGGTCTTATGGATATTTGAGAATTGTCCTTCCTTATTTTTAGAAAATATATGCTGAGGTACTAGGGTATGAAGTTTCATGATATTTGTACCTCAAACGGTTTGGGGAAAAAAATAGGAGAGGAAAAGAGAGAGAACAAGGCAGGATTTACAATTTTTTAATGTAATTGATGTACATAGGGTGGTGATGTCAACGTAGTGTTTTTTAATGTTTTCTTTTATGTTTGCAAATGAGAGAAAAGGATGGAAGTCTTTATTGCTACATTAAAATTATGAGAAAATAAAGAGAAAGTTGAATGAGTATAAAAGTAACTCATTACAGATGTGGACAATATTCAAAAATTGTCCATGGTTCCTAGGCATGAACTAACTTTAAAAAAACAATCTCAAAGGAAGGCAGAGCCAGGATGGCGGCGTGAGTAGAGCAGCAGAAATCTCCTCCCAAAACCAAATATATATATGAAAATATAACAAATACAACTCTTCCTAGAATAAAGACCAGAGGACACAGAACAACATCCAGACCACATCAAGACCTGCGAGAACCCAATGCCTTGCAAAGGGGGTAAGATACAAACCCCAGCCTGGTGGGTCCCGAGCGCCCCTCCCACCAGCTCCTGGAGGGAGGAGAGGAGTCAGAGCGGGAGGGAGAGGGAGCCCAGGACTGCTGAACACCCAGCCCCAGCCATAAGGACCAGAGTGCAGAAACAGTGCATGCGTGGGGCCCTGGATACTAGGGAAACAGGGCAGCAAGAATGTGAGTGGGTAAAGTAGGCTGGCGCTGGAGGACAAAAGAAAAGCGAGCGACCACCTTTTTTTCCTTTTTTTTTTTTTGTTGTTGTTATGGTGAGCGCTTTTTGGAAGTCTTAAAGGGACAGGGACCCCAATACTAGGGAAACAGGGCAGCAAGACTGGCGAGCAGGTATCGGAGGCTGGCGCTGGAGAACAAAAGAAAAGAGAGCGGCCATTTGTTTTTTTGTTGTTGTTGTTTAGTTTGGGCGAGTAATTTTTGGAAGTCCTAAAGCGATAGGGACCCCCATACTAGGGAAACAGGGCAGCAAGTCCAGTGAGCGGGTGTCTGAGGCTGGCGCCGGAGAATAAAGAAAAACGAGTGGCCATTTTTTTTGTGTGTG